CTATGGAGCAGAGTTCTGAGTGCAATCTGAGGCTCTCCACTAATTCCAGAGAATTTTGGTGATGTTGGGTCAGTGATGTCTGCGTGGACTGAAAGGAGGGAAGGGGGAATATGGGAGGAGAGAGGGAAGGGTGTGCAAGATGTTCCTGTGTTCATTCATCTTGGTGACACCTCGTAACAAACCGTATGCTGGAGGCAACCAGTACCCCAAATCAGACGGCCTTCTGATCAAACAGCCTGCTCTGCTGCTGGAATGCACCAGCTGTCCTGAAACAGCAAAGCAGTGCTGATGTCACCCACTGAAAACACAGAGTGTGTTCGGCTGTGAGTGTGTGTGTGTGTGCTTCTGCACATGCAGCTCCAGTATCTGCGTGTGTCTGCAGGTGGGGAGGGGCTGCAGGGCAATGTGGGGGTGCTGGGAAAGGTTTGTTAGATGGGGAAACGGTTGGTGAGCTCTGGGTCACGGGGTTGGAGAGGTTTGTGGTTGGAGAAGTGCCCTCCTGCTCCTGGGACATGCAACGATCTGTGTGCGCCTGCACGAGGGAAGAACGGAGATTGGAAAGTGATCTTATGTGGGGCAAAGGAGAATGCTGCAGCACACGGGAGCGGGAAGCAGGGAGAATGCAGGCCAACAGATTTTTGTATCTAGCAGGGATCAAAGGTGTGTGTGTCTGTGCATGTGTGGGAGGCTGGGACTGCATCTGAAACGGAGCGAGGATGGGAAGGGAGGGATCGGTGTGAGTGCAGAGCAGGTAATGAAAAGATCTTGTGTTTCTCAGCTCTGATAACGTGGGTTTTTATTTGAATGATCTGAGGCTGTTGCCTGTTTGAAATGCAAATTGTGCCCTCAGAGCAGGTTATGCTGCTTGCTCCTCTAGACTGCTCCCTGAGGGGCGTGCACTGGGCTGCCCGAATGCTGCTCACCTGCCACAAAAGGAACCTAATCTGTACTGAAATATGATGGCTTTTCCTTAGCTGGGGTGCAGACACAATGTAAATTATTGCAACAGCAACAACAATCCCCAAACCCTTTGGACGGGCCTAAGATGTAACTTTTGGTTCAGAAGCTGGATTTGATAATGAAAGCAACTCAGAGATGGGAAATGTCAGTACTGAGGTCCCAGAGTAGAGGAAAACTACAGAGAGAGCATGATGGATGGAGAAGTAATGGTAGCACAGAGTTAGCATCGTACTGCAGATCACAGTAGGGGACGGAGTCGGAGCAAGATGATGGATGTTGCTGTCTGTTCTGTAGTCACAGATGTAGTTGCAAAGGAAGGAAGTGTAAAATGAGAAACAATGCAGTTTAAATCTGTTAGTATCTTATGACTAGTTTGCCCTGGGCAGAATGAGCACATAATGGTTGTACAGAGGTACAAGACAACAGAATCAGGCTCCTAATAGCATATCTGTTGTGCTTCTCCAAGAGCTCCCTCCCAGGAGACCTACTCAGCCATAGGTGCAAATGGTTGGTGTCCTCCTTGGTAAAAAAAGAATGGCATAAGACACAATATGTTGCCAAGAGGGAAATGTTTCTGCTTGTGTTGTAACTTAGACTGTCAGGAATATCAAACTGTGTCACCTGCACCTATCTAGGGTATTTTCTGAGTGGTTGAGGAGGTGGTGGACCAAAGAAGGAGCTGACCACTCCAAGCCACATCAAACCAGAGATGTGGATTCTGGCAGAGTGCTGCCCTTCTTATGTGACTGCTCGAGGAGATGCTCCTGCTTGGCACAAACACAGGGCAGGTGTGGCCACTGCCCACAGGTAGAAGAGCAGCTGCGTGCACCTGAGCACCGTGTGAGGAGCAGCTGTACCTTCTTTATTTTGCAGCCATTAGGCTGTGCTGCCATGCTTTTCTGGGATATGTGGAACATAACCTGATTTCCTGACTGCTTCTGCTGTCCATGTCACTGCCCTATCCCTGTTCTTTCTGTCCCCTGATGCTGCCAAATAGGAGAAATGCAGAGAAGGAAACGTAGCTCAAAGCAAGTGCCTGGTGCAATGGAGTTTTCTTGGGGCCACATTTTGGTATGGCTCAATTGTTCATGCAAAGGTTTTAAAACAATCTGAACCTTACAAGAAAAAAAAAAGAAAGACCCTTTAAAATCCAGGCTAATTGAGTGAGTGCTAACATTAGTAAGACAAATGAGTCTTCTAAAGTGAAGTGTTGTTTTCTTCACAATGGGATGATTAATACACTCAAGCAGGAATATTAATAGGCTTGTTCAGTTGTTGCAACATTCTTCCCACTGCTGTGCCTTGGAATCTGAGCCCAGGGGACCCCCAGCTCTTCAGTTCCTCATCTGGCATGTTTTGTATGTCAGTCTCAAAGCACACATTGCAAAGATAGAGCAGCAATCATCGCAGAGTGCTGCTCGGTGCACTCTGCATTTTACAAATGGGGAAACCAAGGCAGACAGCAGTCATGTATCAGTCACCCACTTGCTCCTCTGTAGGTCACCTACTAAATTTATGAAACTGTGACATTCTTTAAGAGTCTGATTCTATTAATCAAAAAATTGTGTGGTGTTCGGGGCTGTCAGGCAGCAGCAGAGACCTATTTCTTTTCTCCTAGAGCTGCCTTTTATTTGATCCACCAGAACAGCAGTGACAGTGTGCTGTCCTCAGTTCCTGTCCACATCTATACCTCTCAGCCTTCCTCTTCACGCCACCTTCCCACCCATCAAGTTGCACTTTCTTTCTGTGATCATGAATTTTCAAGATTTTTAGAGCAGATAAATTACATTTCCAGTACTGCATATCCAAAAAGAGAGGAGATCATCCAAGATAGCAGAATACTTAGCTTGAAGCCATTCCATCTGACAGCTGTTTCTTAGCCCTGTGAATCGTATTGGTGGTCTCAGCCCCATTCCACAAGCGAATAGATCACAAATAGATGTACAGCCAGAGCTTCAAAAGATAGATGGAGCCACATGGACACTGATTTCCTTTATCAGCCCTGGAAATGATGAACCAGAGAGAAGCATTGAACAAGTATTGTGCTGAGATTAGTTTCTCTGGATAAATAGTCTTCAGTCTTTTTTTGCCTTGAATAGAACTTCACTAACACAAGAAATTTTGAGGGTGTTTGGGGTGTTTTTGTTTCTGTTGATCTGGTTTTGACAGATAATGATCTACAGCTTTTGGGTTTGTCTAACTCCTCCAGCTACAATCCTTGCTTAGACGCTTACATCACAGAAGACCGGCTAAATGAGGAATGATGGAGGCATTGCCAATGCTTGGCATTTAAAGTGAACAAAACCTGGAGCTGGAGCCTCCTGTTCCTCACTGTGGTACCAGTTTAAAGAGATGCAGGTTGCTTGCTAGTGTGGGGTATATTTATCATGCTGAAAATGGATGTTCTGTATTTGGTCACAGCACAGCAGAGCATGAGAGTGGTAAAGCATGTTTTGCTTTTGTAACAACCAGTTACGTGAGTACAGGAGCCCAGGTTTCACTGCCCCATCCCAAAGGCCGAGGCTGTGTGGTCAGCTCCCCCAGGCAGTTTGCAATGCATTCTGCTGGGTAGCATCTGCTTTCTTTTTACCTCGGGGAACAAATGCCTTGTAAAAACTTAGGGTTGTCCTTAGCATTTCCAGTCAATCTGGAAGTGCTGAAAACCTCCAGCAGGCACCTCATGTTATGTGGATGATTGCCCATTGCTGCTCAAAATAACACTTATTTCATATGGAGGAGGAGGAGGGAATCTATTTATTCCAAAATCAATATTTCTACGTTTATTAAATAATCCACTTATTCACTTTTTCTTTTTTCCATGCCTGTGGTGACATTCTGTCCATATTTTTCTCGTCACTACAAACATATTTTTTTTCTTCCATTTCCATTCCTATTTCCAGATTTGACTGCTTTGCATTAGCTGGTTAGAGACTGACAGGTCTGGAGTGTGGACATGTGGGTGAATGTCTACCATAGCCCAAATTTTCAACCTGGAATCTGAAGCAGAATGGCTGAGTGCAGATATCTGCCTGGCAAATTAAATTGATCAGACAACGTATACTTCAAACAGAGTGAGGTGGGAATACTTCCTTGAGCTGCTCTGCTCCTCAGGATATTTGAAATCAGTATTGAATTGGAACTTTCACAGGCTTTTTTATTCTGGTGAAAGGAGACAGTAGAAGTTCCCTTCTGTTTCATGCAGAATAGCCCAAACTAAGACTAATCTTCCGTGACGTGAGAACCAGGTGGGACTGTGATGATGAAATATAAAAGTAGAAATGACAAAGAAAAGCATAATCCATCTGCAGGGGGAGTAAAAGGCGGTGGTGTGGTTCGTTATCCTGCCCCAAGTAAAAATAATGCTGTGGTTGGAACGTGTCTGTAATCCATAGGAATCACAGGTTTTGTTCTTCACTGGGAAACAAAAACTGTATTGTCTTAGGCAGGTGAGCTGGTTGGGCCCCTGTTCAGGCACACGTGAGGATGTCTGGTTCTGACTGATTTCCAGTGGGTGCTGGATTCTTAGTTAACATCACAGCTCTCTCCCAAGTCTTTCTGTGTCTCAGTCTTCTGACTACAGAACAGTGATAAAAGCAGGCCCTACCTTTTATTGATGATAACTATCTTGAGTATTATAAATGTATGGGCTGGTAAGGCAACACAGTGTGATATCATAGGTCAGTGCAAGAATACAGACTCTTCTCCAAGTATAAAAGGCATTCCTACATAGGAAGAATTTGTTTGGTGCTGGTCCAGACAGAGCAGACTTGTAAACTTTTCTAAGTCAGTAGGAAATGACATAATTTCCCTTTGTATTTCACGAGCTCAGTCTTCGTGCAGGGCCTAATACTTGAGTCTGTTCTTACATGGGACCTGGGAAGGACTTTGTACGGGGACTCACCTGCACTGCCTGTATTTCTTGAGAATAACAGGTTGGGAATTGAACTTTGTACTCTGAGTGTGACTGTTAATTGCTCCTCCCATAGTTCAGAGCTCTGCAAAGCCAGTGCAGGAGGGAAGTTCTGCCCGAGGAACACACAGCTGTGATACCCAGAGTCACACTTTGGGTCCCTCACCTCTTTAACGCAGCACGGAGACAAGACGTCCCTCTTTATACAAGCTGTCAGGTTCTGAGCTAGAGCAGGGGAACGGCAGGAACCCTCAGTGAGAGATTCAGCTGTAACTAAAGCAAGCATATTTTATCCTGCTTTTGTCTGTTTATGTGAATATCTGTTGTGGGTTGAATTAAAAAACACCAAACACAATCATCTTGTATTACGTGCCTGTATATATTTTATCTTCTGTAAAAGAAGGAATTTGTTTTCATGGTAAACAGACAAGGCAATATATTTTTGATCTTTTTATTTGTATTACAGGCTCCAAAAAAGGCAAAGAAGAAGATAGAAGGTGGCTCCAATGTATTCTCTATGTTTGAACAAACCCAGATCCAGGAGTTCAAAGAAGTTGGTCACTATTCTTCTGTTTTCTATAGTCTCCTGTCATTACTAATAAATAACATAGGTTTTGTTTGTAATCCTTATTCAATTCTCCATCTGCTTTAATAGAACACACAGTTGTTTTCTGAATCATCTCTGTGGTTTTGGCTGGTATATCGTTTTCCTTGTGTGTTTGTTTGTTCTTTCCTTCATTCCTTCTTTCATTCATTCTGTCTCTCCTTGCATCTCCTGTTTCAAGTTCCAGACTTACTTAAAAAAAAAACTCTGAGCACTGAAAAAATTAATAAAGGAAAATTATCTCATCTACTTTAGCCCCGATTCAGGAAAATACCTGGGCATACATTTAAAGTTAAGTTTAAGTGCTGTTTTAAATAAGAATAATTTTGCATGCTCAAGTATTATCCTGAATGGAGGTGTTGTATTGAATCAGGTCATTAATTCCTGGACTGTTCCACAGTGGTAACAGAAATATTCTTCTGTGCCCATCTAATACTGCCCACAAACTAGAAACCAAAATACCAGAAAATCCTCAGCCAACTTTCTCCATAAATGCCCATAAAATAAAGCAACATGTTGAGGTTAACAAAATGAGCATCTTTTAGGTCCCAGAGAATTGGTATTCCATGCTTTATGGATTCTTTGATCAGTTAGCTGTGATGAGGCAAACCTAATTAGCTGGCTTAAGAGCTGGTGCATAAATAAAAACAAATAATTTTATGAGTTTGGACTTTTTATTTTTATTTTTTTAAATAGGCATTTTAAATATCTGTCACACCATCACATTTTCCACAGATTGGTCACTTTAAATTATTTTTTTCCTAATTTTTTGCTAACTCACATCTCCAAAACTGTTTCCAATGTGATAAATAGCTGCTGTTTCATTTGGTGTACGTGGATTTCAACTTTACTTTTCATGAGGATTCTCATCAGTAAAGCTCAGTGGTGAATGAGATCAAAAGGACTGAGAGGATTACAAAGGATTGTAACTACAGGCCAGGTGAAGTTTCCCCAGATTTAATGGGAATATTTCTAGCACTCTTCTCCCACCTCTGTCAGCATCCTATGAACCTCCAGTTTCATTCTGTCTGGGGACGACTGCTGGAAGACCTGCCACCAGAAAGGGCAATTGGTCAGGATGTTATTTTTGAACTACTCTAAATAAGATGGCTCTTAGAACATTTCTGGGAGGATGGTGGTGGAATAATGGCAAAGTCACAAGGCAGTGGAGAGGTGCAGTTAAAAACCAAGGCCACGTGGTGTTTAAAGACTGCCTACTTGGAACAAATGATGCATTTTGGCTGATAAGTCATTTTTTGTCAGAACAGTGTTGCATAGAGATTTCAACCAGCTCACTAGAAAATGTATCAGCATCACTACTTCACATTAATTTCACTCCTCTGGAATGTAGTGATCAAAGAGTGCCTGACACTCTTCCTCTTCTCTGTGATTTTGCTGGGCTCTGCTTTGGTCTTTGCATTTCATTCTTTCTTCCAAACTGTGGGGATGCTTTATCAGCAATAAAGAGTTGAGCTTGATTTTTTATTAGGTGGTGGCTTGGCAGGTAAGTGAAGGGTTGGGAACATGCATGCTGCAAGTTACCACATGGCAAACTGGAATGTGAGCAGTGGAGCTCTGTAAGAAACTGGACATCAAACTGGTTGAAGATATGTTGATTATAATGCAGCCGTGGAAAGAAATGCATCCTGTAGAGCAGTGGACTCTGAAAGATACTTGAGTGGACTGGTTGTATTCCAAGGAGAGGGTTGTTTTTCATAATGATCTTGAAATAAAAATAATTCCATCAAGATACGCGCTCATATTGATGTGCACATCTGGCAGATAACCAGCTTCAGAGATGTGCCTGGTTCTGCTGATACTCCCCATAGTGTATCCAGGGGAATTTTAGGTCATTAAAATCTTTCAAAATCAATGAAACATTAAAAGTGTGATAGCAGCAAATGACAGACATACAGATAGGTAAATAGACGGACAGATAAGCAGTTAGCTGGCTGGATAAGGAATGTTTGATTGTTATCAGCAGCTAAATTTTGCCTGACAAGAAGTATTTAAGGTCAAGCATCAAGGTCAGTCAGAGCACAGAATATAGGCTGACGGATGCAATTTATTGAAAAGGGAAATAAACTGTGAATAAACCATACTGTGAATCCTACGTTTCTCAGTGCTTTTGGAAATTCAGCTGTCTGTGTGTGAAGAATCGCCCTGAAGCCAAGAGGAAAAAGACTTTTTCTCAACAGCGGAGAACTACTTACAGTAATTAAATGTTTTACAGAATATGATAGCTGAGCAAAGGAAGGAGATACAGGAAGCAAACAAAGCACACAGGAGTAGCTCCTGACCCCACATTTTATGGATTAAAGCCCGAATGGCAGCAGCTGTCAACGTTGGCTTTGCCCATCCCTATGCTGCCCTGAGCATTAACTTTGTAACAAGTTTGGGTGGGTTTAATTGAGCCCCTTGCCAAGGCACAGTAATGTGTTGAAAGTGAGGAAAGTGCAATGATGTGGCCTGGTGTGGATGAATCAAAGGAAGTTAAATATTCTTTACAGCATAACGCTCCTCTGCATTAGTATGTGACTGTAGCACTGTTCTGTGCAATATGACAGTAAGTTGCCTATTTTCTTCCAACAGGCTTTTACCATCATGGATCAGAACAGGGATGGCTTTATTGACAAAGCAGACTTGAGAGACACATTTGCTGCACTAGGTAAGCTGGTAGTAATAATTAAATCAAACCTTAAAGAAACGGTGGTTTGTGTTCGAATTAGTTGGGCAAAAGGAAACCTGTTCAGTTCGCTATCTTGACTACGTAGCTCCAGCTGGAAAATCTCCCGAGCAGCCTCTTTCAGACACTAAATGAAGTCTCTCTGGGACTCACTGGCGGGTGCTACAGAGCTGTGCAGCTGGCAGCTCTCCAAAGGCACTGATCCTTCCCTTGCAACTATTTCATAAAAAGCCCACCCAAGTCGGGGTCCATGCCAGGCATTTCTGATTTGCTTCTGAAGCCAGGCTTCACATGCTGCACCTTTTTTTATCTACGAGTCATGCAGTATCTACCAATTAACGTTCTTGTCATGGACTAGCTGCCCCTCTGCCCACACCAAAGCAGGAAGACTTCATGTGAGGTTCTGTGCTGTTGTGCGGGGATGTGGGATGGAATGTGCGTGTCATGAGATTAGGTACTGTCCATTTCATGTGCATTGCACTCCTGATAACATCAAGCATCTTAAAGAAAAACTTCTCAAGAAAAGGAAAAATCAGAATGCTCATGAGCCCTAACATGAAGCTGTATCCATGTTGTAACATTTGAGGCTTGAACAGTGATGTAGGCATTTGGGCTTTTGCCATCTGGATCTTATTAAAAAGAGTTTGATAAGAATCTCTAGTGCTCCCCAGGGTGGAATCAGACTGCTGTAGAGTCGGTGCAAAGAGCAGAAGCTCCTGAACTCTTTGTTGTGACAAAGAAGTTTGCAAACTTTGGCCTCTAGCTACTGTTGCTCTGAAATATTTATTTCTTAAGGCCATATTCTGCTATCCTTCACATTCAGTGAAGCCCTGCAATGCTTATAAAATACGGTCACAGCAAATTACCACTCAGTTTGAGTAGGGATGCTGGATTCTAAATTCTCAATAGTCCAGTGCAATGATGGGGAAGGAATAGGACTGCTCAACTCATCCATCTGCTCCGTACTCATCTCAACATCTCAATTTACAGGAGGGCAAAGCCTGAGACTTTGGATCCACTTCAGTCACATTTAAACTCTGCTATATTAATATCAACACAGTCTGTTTTTCACCTGAGGTTAAAAGAAAGAACACTCAACAACAACAACAAATAAAATGAAAAAGAATTTAGTTGAAAGTAGCCCCTTCTTTGGTCTGCTGCTGGCCTGGTCTGTATCATTTATCCCTCTTACTCCTTTTTTATCTTTTGCTTGGTATTCCACCTCAGGATGCATTGGAGTATTCTGGATTTGTGTTCCACCATGTTATTAGTGAAGTTACACAGAGCCCTGAGCTCCCCAGTGGGAGGAGATGAATGGGAATTGTTTTTTAGAACACAATTTGGGATTTATTATGAAAAATGATCTCTGCTGCAGGTCGTCTGAATGTCAAGAATGAAGAGCTAGAAGACATGGTGAAGGAGGCGCCAGGTCCCATTAACTTCACTGTCTTTCTTACGATGTTTGGGGAAAAACTGAAAGGTAAGTACCTTTGGGGGGTTGGACAGGTATCTGTCAAAGATGCTCAGCACTGAAATATCTCAGTACCTTGCAAATTATAATAATATATCCAGGGAACAATGCTTAAAGGCAAGGAGTGATCTCCAGTTTTGCAGACAGAGATGAAGTATGAAAAGGCAGAGGGATGGTCCAGAGGACAAATCAAAGGTGTGATTTCAGCTTGCATAAGCTAACATGGAAGTACCATGCTGAGGTCTAGAAAGCAATGAGATCATGGCTGCCTGGAGCACGCTGCAGAAGAGTTATTCACCATCTGCGAGTTCTAGGCTGAGGTCTGTTGCTCTCACTATGCTGGTATTCCTGCCACTGTTAGATGGTTTACAACTATCATCAGCATTTCTCTGAAAAACCTTTCTGCACTCCTTTGGCTCATTATGCACACATGACCTCTGCACCATCTTTGTAGTCACAGGGCATGAAGAAGCGTCACGTATCCCCCATTTTCTCTTACATCAGTAACTTAGTCGCCCAGGCTTGCTTTTACTTGAGGTCAGTGGCAGTTAAGACATTGGCTTAAGTTGAATGAAGATTTTGCAGAGTAAGTCCTAATGAATAAATAAATGGGACTAATTTAATCTCAGTGGATTTAGAATGATAGCAAGAGGAATTTGGCCCATTGCCACAGAATATATAAGAATGACTGTAGTGAGTTTAGAAAAGATGGGTACTAAAATCTGTGTGGAAGGTAGTAATTTAGTCAGATCTTTGATACTGAATGTGCCTGGAAACTATAAAATAGAGTGTGAAACCAAGAGAAGCCTCGGTCATCTTCCTGTGAGCATTAGATATAGGTCAAAGCCTTGGCTTTCAGAGCGAGGTAGTTGGCTTGCCCAAGCACATTCAAGAAGTCTGTTAAAACAACTAATGCTATTCAGTTCCCTCTTCCTCTTTTTCTCTTTCTTGGGGTAAAAATTATGCAGATAAGAGAAATAAGAAATACTTAAAAAACTGAAAAATCTGATCAGATCTTCTTAAGAAAGTTGTATTGTATAGCTTGCCTCTGGCTTTGTACAGCTAAATAGAGTTCCAAAGAAGGACTTTCTACCCTTGGAATAGAAAATAAAGAAATCTAGTAGGAAGTACTGATGTAACCAGTCCTCAAAGAAACACGTTATTGCTAAGAAATACAGTATTTCTGGGAAGTATAAGGGTGACAGAGGAGGCTGTAGACTGACACTGAGGACTGTATTACCCAGACGTCACTCTGTCTTCACCACAGTGCTACCCACACCTTTACATTCTGGATACCATCCTACAAAGTCTGCAGTGCCCTGCTCTGTGCTCTTCCTTCTGGATACACAGCTGTTTCTGATGGTACATTGCTGTATATTTGTGTTGCTTATGATCGCATGGAGGCGAGCTGTTCCTCCTTCCCCCCTCTTCCCTCTCATCTCTCATGACTGCTGAGGCTGGCAGATTCTGGCCCTGCCAATTGTGTGGCCTAAAACCAGCGCCAGCACAGGAAGGTGAATGGTAAAGCATGCCCCTCTTGTTTGCAGGTTTCCTGTTGGCTACAAGAAGAGAAGGAAGGTTTTTGTTCTTTCCATTTGGTGAAGGGAAAATCACAGCTGTGCTTGTCATGCCCTTCTGGTTGGGTTTGTCATGCAAAGGAAGTAGAGCCAAAAGACTGCACATTCCCAATCAAAACTAATTGGGATGAAGAGCCTTTGTAGTGCAATTAGAAAGGGAAAAAAGGCTAGAGGAAGTGGATATGGCAATTGTGCAACACTCTTTATTAGCTAAGTACCACTCAGAGAATTTGGTGAAAGGTGCTTTCTAAGTAAAATTTCTTGTGCTATAATTGATTTCTGTCATAAAGGGGAAGCTGGGATTTTTCGGACGAGCTTTAGCTTTGTATATAGAGATTATGATGCCAGATGAACAGCTAACAAAACTCAGTTTATGTTAATGCCAACCACATGGAGCTGTTTCTACAGGGAGTCAGAATAATACAATTTGTACAGAAAACAGAGATGCCGCACATCAAAGAAACCACTTTATTTACCAGCTAATCAATAAAGAATGCCTGCTGCATTGCTTCTCTTCAAAGCCAAAGTCCAAGGATATGACAGAGCAGAAAATGTAAAACACAGTAAGGAGGAAAAAAAAAATAATCCCCCACACAGTGGTGACTACTTTAAATGCAGACTTTTCCTCAGAGATGGAAAAAGTTTCTGTTCACACAACAATCAAAGCACTCATTAAATACCAATGCTCGTTATATTGATTATCTGTTCATTGTGGAATGAATACACTGCATCCACGCTGGCAGAAAAATCTATGTGCATAGTGAATGACCTGAAGGAGGCCATATAGTCTTCTGCTCAATGACCATCACATCTACTAAGATTCCACCACTGATCCTTATGATTACAAAGAAAACTCAGGAGATGTCAGAAGTATATATAGTCGAGCTGTTAAATCAGAGAATCATGCCTGGGTTCTGCTCGGGTTCTTTCTCTGTCAAACTTTCTAACATAAATTTAAATAGTAATGGATTCTTTTTTTTTTTTTTTCCTTCTTTTTTTTTTAAATCACACTTTCAACATTTCAGCATCCCAAGTAACTTCATGTGTCAATGTACCAGCCTGTAAATTTGGTTTCCTGAAGTTATGGATAATGATTTATATTATACTACTATAATGTTTTGAAATACTGAGGAACAGTCAAAAACAGAGCATGTAGGATATCTTTTGGTGTGGGTAGAAACTGTCTGTAAATGAGAATACTCAGAATCTACAGTGTTATAGAATAGTCAGAACATCCCAGTCAAGATTAAGGCACTGTGAAAGCTATTCTCTGATGCACCTTTTTTTTTTGCAATCTAAATAGATGGGACGGATAAAGAATGAAAGAAAATGAAGACTCTTACTATCATTTTATTGCTGGGAGCAAAGAAGCAGAGAAATTAAAGTCATGCCAAAAGTTTGTGGCCCAGCTATGAGCAGAGGCAAAATCTTGGAGCCACAGTCCAGTGCTTTAAACCATCCTATAAACCATCCCATATTAACCATCCTGTTTACATAAATAACACTTATTGTGTTGCTGTGAAGAAATACTGAAGTGGAAGCGTGCTACAGAACATAAGAGCCAGTCACCATTTTCCACTGATCATCCTGCTTCCATTGCGTTCCATTGATATCCAGATTTTATGATGAGCTCCATTTAGTGAGGGAAGTAAGCTCTTCTCTATATAGTGAAGAACAAGTAACATCAAAAAGTGTTTTTGCAAGGAACATACAGTACAAGATTAAAGGAAACCAGCGAGGGAAACAGTTTGTTATATTTTCATTTCTGAAAGCCACTAATCCTCTGGGTACTGATATTGGAGACCAGTTCCTGGAAGTTTTCTCTCCTGCAGACACAGAATATATATGAGTTATTATTTTAAAGCTTCTGAGCACTGAACTATTCACCTCTATTGTTTATCTGACATGACAAATGCAGCCGACTTAAGGAACCTTTGTCTTCAAACCTACGACTGCAGAATTCTCCATTTCGCTGTGTTCTCCAGTGAATGCAATTGTTACATAGCAAGTATTCAGCAGATACAGATACACCCAGGCTCCTAAATTATATTCCATTAATTTTAGGCACGGACCCAGAAGAAACCATTCTGAATGCTTTTAAGATTTTCGACCCAGAAGGAAAAGGCCACATAAAGGCAGACTAGTAAGTTTATTTCAAGTTCTTTTAAAATATTATTATTATTAATAATAAATAGCACAAGTTTAAAGAACTCCTTAAAAGCTGTATTTTTTCACAGTATTTTAAGAGACAGGCAGGCTTTGTAAGCCAGAGTTGTAAGACCAGACTATTGTACAAATGTGTTTGTATACCAAAAAGAGATGTTATTGTCTTCAGACATTGCAAGAGGCAACGGAAATATAATCACATGTAGGCCATTAGATAGTCTTTTTTTGAAGGTCTGGATATAAATCAACACATGACTCTTTGTAGATTAACTCCATATGTAAAAATAAAATGAATGTCTGGTGCCTGACTGTCAGAGCTTAACTGAAATGGGAAAGCTAGTCCCCCTTTTTAAAGAAGTGATCAATTTAATTAACTCTGGGACATGGTTTTAGTAAAAACATTTTACTTGTTATATGCTTACTGTTGGAGCCTTCTGCTTCTAGACAAGAATTTGCTGTAAATTTCCACTAGATATGTTGAGAGCCAAAGCAAATAATGCTATTAATAATAGGGCAACTATTATCGATGTAGCTATTATTTAAATAAGGAGGCAGGACCTAATTTGTATTCATAACCTGTTACACCAAGAGAGCAGAGTGAAAGGACTTCAAGTGCTAATTGCACAAATGCAAATCCTCCTTATACCATCCAAATGGTGTAAGCAGGCATTCAGGTAAACGAGATAAATGATATCAAATCAGGGCAATGTATGAGGGACTCTGACCCGTGGCTCTGGTGAAATGTTTTATGTGCCTTGATTTATGCATATGACTAAATTCCATGGTGAATCTGGGCACTATACTGCTACTGCAGTAGCCAGTTCAGGTAAGCTTTCTAATAGATATGTACAAGAAGCTTATTAGGGAACCAAATCCTAGTTTCCTAGGGTAGGAAAATCACGTACAGTATTTCCTTCCACTACCAAAATGCTTTTTTTATGACACTGGCACTTAATTCCCAGTGGGTATGAGAGTCCTATTATGGATATTATGGAGCCCTTCTTATGGTAAGCAGTGGGAAAAAACAAAGCCAAGAGACAATATTTTCACTAAAGGACATCCAAATGAATTAAATCAAGATGCAACAAGAGGATGTAGTAAACAACAGGAAGGAACAGAGGGTTAACAGTTGTTCTGATTGCTTTGAGGTTAATGTTATCAAGTAGCATGGGAAGAACACTCTTGGTGACACACCAGAAGTGACTCAAACATTATCAGAATAAAATGTAGCCTGCTGTCCAATAGGCCAGATCACACGGTAGTGAAATCACAACCATGAAATACAACATTCTGATGATACAAAACCCATGAAATGCTGTATTTCCCACCACTATCTGTAACAATGTGCTGCATACAAAATCTGCAGCTTGCCACCCTGCATCCAGTTCTACATTCCTCAGATGCTGGGAGCCAGTTGGAGTTTGGGGCAAATTAGGAATGCAGTATCACACTCCAAAATGAAGATGAGAGAAAAATCCTTTTTTTTTTTTTTTAAACTTAATGGAAAAGGTCAACCTTGTTCCCACCCCCATTACACTGCTAACATTAGACAATTGTTTCAGTTCATCACCACAACAGAGCATAATGTTTACTTATTAGACCCGAGGGTATTGTTGATCATTACAGAGCAAACCATTAAATCAATTCCATGAATGTCTTTGAGGTTTAACTTCTATTCATTTGCTTCCAAAATTTAGACATTTGAAGGTTTTGAAATAATTTTTATGTTGGCTCATGCAGCACTTTCAATATGACGTTTAATGCTAATAAATTATATTTCTCCATATGAAAAAAAATCCTGGAATGTTCCTCTCCTAAACCAGCCACAGTGACCTTTTAATCAGAACTTCTTTTTATGTTCATGGAGTTAACATCCTTCTGGGGATTTTTATGGCTCTTCCCTCTGCGTGTTTTCACCTCTAGTCTGGAAATGACTCACTTAGTCCATTTGATGGTAGCTGGGATGGAGCCTTCTAACCTTTCCAGAAGCTTCGGGAGTTTATAACTTACTTCCAAATTCAATGACAGAGTTTGTTTGTCTGCATCATTATACCACACATAAAGTCCTTCCTCTAGCATGATGTCAAAAAGAAAAAGTGCTTTAGATCAGATTCTTGACTGGTGTAAACTGGCATTGCTTTTGGAAAGGTTAGATGATTCAGTTCTAAATGCCATTCATTGGACAAAGTGAGTCAGGCCAACAGCAACTGTGTCTAATGCTGATGCCAATAAAACTTTACAGATTTGTACCAGATGAAAATGGACCCAAAGAGCATAAATGCATTCTGGTTCTTTGGAGATTGCTCTGGCTGAGCTGGGAATGTTTCTCATCGTAGCTGTAGAAAACTGCTCACTCTAACTCACCTGCTTTTTCCCTGAGAAAACAATGTATGAAGGGAAATCCCAGGGGAATAACGAAGTGTCCCAGAGCTTTTACAGGGGAAAATGTTTTGAAAATATAAGGAAAATACAACAAAATATTCACAACTGGAGATGGAACTGTTGTCAGGCAGGACAAGAGATAGCATTTACACAACCACAACAAGGCAAATGGATCCTTTTTGCCCAGAAGACTTTGAGGTGGTTGTGATTTATTTTATTTTTTTTAGAAGCAAGTAGTCTTTAAGAAAGAAATCCATATACACAAAGAAAGAAAAAAGTTCATAATCTCTAGCTTTGGAAATGATGAGCATTCATTTCCCTATAAAATAAATAATGGAAAATGTGCATAGATCCTTAACTCAGTCCTTCTTCCTTGTGAGTGTGCCAGAGCCTACTGGGCTATGCATCAGAAGATTATAATTAGATATTTGATCTTTTCCCCTAAATACTTCAAGCATGTAAGCAGAAGATACATCACGCCCAGATCTCTTTTTAATTCAGTGCTGTTTCTGATGAAGTTTATTGTGACTTCTAACAAAACTGCTGTAAGTGCTTCCTTCTATTCACCAAGCTCCTTCCTGGATCACACTTCCTATTTACATTTGCTGATTCTGTTTGCCCCAGTGCACATACATCCAATGATCAATTTACATCGATGAGAATGACCTCTCTGTTCCTCCAACCAAAGATCATTTAGGAATTCCATGTCAAGAAATGCAGTCACATAACAAATACCAGCCCAACAAGACAGAAATGGCAATATGAGAGGAAGAGATGAAGAAAGACTTTGCTAAGTAAGGAGCATGGGAAAATAGTGCAAAGAAAACATACAGGATAGCTTAAGCTCTCTTGTGACTTTGGAGTATTTCCCAGAACTTGCCAGAGTATTTCCATGCTTGGCCTTGTGGGCAAGGTCTTTATACATTACCCTGAATCTTCCTTTTCCAGTCATCTCTTTCTGTCCTTCCAAATAAGTGATACAGTCGTTCTGTCTAAAGGGCTTGGATTGATGTTCCTATTCACCTATACTTTTAGGTAAAAAAATGACATGCTTAACTGAGCTCCTACAACGGGTTTGAAAACAGAGGGTAAATCAGCTGAGGATCTGTCCCCAAAATATTCTCTTTGATGTAATTGCATAGAATGCAGATTGTGTGTGGATAAGCTCCTTGTTACAGTTCTGTAACTCCAGATCAAGATCTTGCACTGTGAAATACAACAGATCTCACACAGTTTCACAGTCTCCTCTGGGAATGGCTGCATGCAAATAAAGGGATTCTCAAATGATGATTTGGAATAGCTGTTGGAGTTCTCTTTCAAGTCCTCTTTCTTATTTCATGCTCTGTTCCTTTCATCCTCAGATTTTACAGAAAATATTCTCTCTTTTGGTTTTGTTAAGTGATCCAAACTTTAAAGAGCAAGTGAGAAAACGTACCGCTTTACGTTAAGATAGGCGCACAAAATTGCTGTATTACAATTAGAGTAATAACCTTGAACAATTTTAAACCTCTATAAAATGCCACAAAAGCAAAATAAGTTGGCAGAGCGAGGTGCTGACACTGATGGGTGCTTGCAGAAAATCTCTTACAATATCATATAAGGATTAACAGCTCTAATTTATGCGGTCACACAGATTTTCTTTCATGCGACTTCAGGAGGGATCTTGCCATCTGAATCGTCATGTGTCATTATCACCCTTTAATCAGGTTATTTCATTTTATTTGCACAGCATCAAAGAAATGCTTATGACACAAGCAGACCGGTTCAGTCAAGAAGAGGTAAGGACCTTCTGCCTTACCCAAAATAGTGATGTTTGTCTAGCAATAAGCATTTGCCCCTCTTTAAATGCATGAATTCAGCTCAAATCCAGTCTGAGAGAAGGCTGATGCCAGCTTTAGCAACTAGGAACAATTCAAAGCTCTCTTCTGAATAGTTCCATGGCTAAACCAAAGTCAAACAGATTCTTTGGACTTCTATGCAAGTTTAAGCATGGCCTGTCTTTTGCTGTTCTTTCCTATGGTGAGCTGGGCAATGAATTTACCAGAGTATGAATGTGTTTAGGTGGGGACTGTAATCTGTTTTCCATTTCTGCGAGCGTTATTTTGTTTGAAATCTGAAATGAATTCTGAAAGGCGGTACTGACTTCGTGGTTTGTGTGAGATAGAACATGGATTCTGATGGCTGGGAGGAATATAGAGGGACATTCTTTTCAGAAGAAGAGTTTGAGTGGAGTTTGTTCATGGCAGATTGGAGTGCAGACTGGAATACGTTACTCAGTCAGGGCTTATCTGTACTTTAGGGAGAGCTATTTGATACAGAACTTTGATTTGAACAGGATTGCATTAACCAGTTTTGTCCTAGCTCCTATTTCAATTTTACTGAAACTGCAGGAATTTTTCCCATAGTAGCTAACAAATCAGGCCAGAAGAGAGCTGAACTGGACTGAAAAGGAAAAGCAGTACTTGTTGCTGTCCTGCAGTCCCATGTTTGTAATACTTATCTCCTGTTTGCTTGGCAGATCAACCAGATGTTTGCTGCTTTCCCTCCAGATGTCTCTGGTAATCTTGACTATAAGAACCTCTGTTACGTTATCACCCATGGTGAGGAGAAAGACTAAACTGAAAGATGAGCTTCTCCTGTGATGATGCACCAAGTCATTTCTTTGTGCTTTTCTGTGCAAGACAAAAGGCTGAACATTCAGTGTGTGAAGCCATGTGGTCATCAGAAGAGAACCAATAAAAGAAGTGAAATTAGATTAAAGTTGTTTAATGCTTCTGTTTTTATAAAAGATGAAAATACCAATTTTTGTGAGTTTTTTCCCATCCTTTTTTTTTTTTCATCAGTGGTTTGAAATGGAATTTTCTTGATGAACTGATGCTGTTGTGATTTATTGACAATCCTAATGTTCACCAGATGGCCCATTGGGCACTGCAATGTTGCTTAACCTCTTGTCTTTTATATATAAGCTCCATGTGTTGATTGAGAAATCCTCTAACTCACTGCATTGGGAAGAGCATTTGGCAAATAAAATTCTTTCTCCTTGCAATGAAAGTGCAAATAAAACAACCTTAAGCTCTTGTGAATGTGCTCAGTGATGTGGCCAGTTTCATAAGCCACTCAATACTCTTGCTTTGGTGCAAAAGAACAGACATAGTGGAATAGTGGCTATTTTTCTCCAGGAAAATGTACCTAGGCACTGATAGAAACCAGCAAGAATGAATTTCCCCCTCAGGGGCATCTTTGTATATGTAGGAAGTTGTCCATGAAGTAACAGTAAGGGCTAGTTCTTTCAGCAGTTGGTCATGATCTTTGTTTTAGGGGTGAAGGACATGTTGAAAGGTTGCATTTTGCCAAAGGTCATCTGGAAGTCTAGGGAAAACACAAGAAAAGAACTCAAGAATTGTAGCCCAGGATTACAAATGAAAGCAAACTATCAGTCACTTTCATAATTCAAGATCAGCATAGCTTCTAAAATGGGCCACAGTTTCTTGTATTTGGACTTCTAGGAACTGGACACATTCTGTCTATGTGTAATACTGCACGAATACTTCCTGTGTGGGAGTCAGAAGAACGCTGCAGCCAAAGCAAAACAAACTTCTGCTTTTTTAACAACTAATGAAAACGGTTTCCTTCTTCATTAGTATTGCTGGCACCAAGGTCCCACAGACACGAAGAGTAGGTAACAAGCTGCTTCTTTTCTGTTTCTTTCATAGAAAGAGAACTGGAGGGCAAGGTGGCAAATTCTGCCCTCATCAGGCAAGGCAGAGCTTGGATGAAAAAGTTTTAGCATCTGCATTTAGCATCTGCATCTGCAGTTTTTTAGCACTTTAAGGAAGTGATATTCAGCCCCACCTGCATTTTTGTTGTTCTAACAAATCCCTACAAACAGTGCCTACCAGTAATTGGGAAAACTGGAATGAGAAGTATCCTAGCAAGGACGTGTGCTTGAGCTGCATAATAAATCTCACCCCTTGCACCTACGTTCAGAAGCACTGCACAAATGCCTGTAATAACAGTGTTTTTTCTGGTGTAAGTATGTGAATCCCAGATGCATCTACCATTAATTAGATCAATTCAAAATTTCAGTAGACACAACTAGAAGCAAAATTTTGTCCTTCCTTATGGGAATCTTGCTGAAGGTGTGGAGACAGTTTTGACACTTCCTGGCAGATGCTCTTGCAATGTTTAAAACAATTGCATGATACCCAAACCCCTCCCTCTCTGTGGGCTGTGCAGTTTGACTGGTTTTAGTGCCTAGCAAACTCCACAAAACACAGAAGTCTGCACAACCTCTTTTTCCACCTCCTGGCTTATTTGCCAGAAGCTGAGCTTTGCTGTGCAAGCACAGTTCTCACCCCTGTTTCACATGACTGCATTTTTACCCCCAAAATATTTATTTGTAGGAGTGGGAGCACTGCTTATGGGATGAGATTGTTGCTAGGAAATGTGAGATCATGGAGGTATTTTCAGTGACACAGCAGAAAATTATTTATAAGCTTCTGCTTTGGACACCTATATGGGCCCAAATTAGAGACAGCACTTCTTAGCAAAGAAAGGAGCTGCTTATATGAGAAACGGATGTTTCACTTGCAGTCTTCATTTGGAAATTGTTTGAGTAGCAGGTCTGGAAAATGCTGTACTGTGACACAAACCAAGTACCAAGTCTAGCACTGCCTTGTATGAGTTGCACAAAATCACAGACCCCACCGAGTGAATACTGGCTGATCCGCGAATAGGAGTGGAAGTCATTCAGGCATCGGATGTCAGATGGTGCTTATGGTTTTTGTTCTGTTTGAATATTTCAGAATGAGATCGAAGATGGATAAAACAGCACGAAGGCTTACCTTCTTCCTTCTATACAGAGATTTATTTTTCCTTGTGTGAGTAGATAGACAAAAACTTTGAGGATGGTATTCTTGAAAGATGAGGTCACATACTTTTTTCCATCAAAGCATACACACTTTTCGATAGATCCTCTTTCATCTGTTATTGCCTAGTTACATGACTTCTTTGAGTGCAGCTCTGGAGCAGACAGCAGTCTGGGTGTGCAGTTCTGCATTCCACCCCTTCCCTCCCTCGGGTCAGCACTAGAGCTCCCAGGCTCTCCATGTTTACTGCAAAGGAACTTGAGCTACACTGCTGGATCTATGCTTCTCCTTGCACCTCCTCAGAGGGGAAATGACAAACGTTCAGATGAATACAATGCTTGTTCTCAGAATCTTTATCAATCCTGGTTTCATTTCAACTTCCATTTTCACTTGGGGACAGGGAGCTGTGCTTATGGGTTTTGGACGCAGATTCAGCTAACGAAAGGAAACAAAGAGCTGAGGTTATTTCCACAAAAACAAGATTCTCACCAAAGCATCACTAAAATGCTCAGTTGGGAATTGAACTTGTGTGAACTCTGGCAGTCGCTCTTTAGTGTCAGCCTCTTCACAAACAACAGCTTATTCGGATGAGTGAAAAAAGAAGAAAAAAAAAGGTGCAGTGTAGAACTGGTAATCTGCTTTATTAACGCTTAAAATTTTAACCCTGTAAACCTTTCTGAAACTTTCTGAGTGGGTGCAGCAGCATCTGAGATACACTGTCATAAACAGGCATAAAAGAAAGAAAAGGATCTCATGAGTTTCCCCAAGCTCGTTGTTCTCCTTGTAGGCAGAGCTATTTAAACTCTTTTCCTGACCTGTCTAATCTTTCTAGGCAGCCTGAAGTCCAAAGCAAACCTTATTCAAGTGCTGTCCTTATATATATATGTGTGCTTTTCCTCCTAACTGAAAACTTTCTGTCTGCAAATGAAGTCAATTTCATCCTTTCCACCTTCTTTGTAATGAACATTGTACACTGAAGGACTGCTTAGTTTTCTGTTTTTCAGCATTCTTCTTACAACTTCTCCCAGTGATCTTTTCTCCATTTCCAGTTCTTGTTCTCTTTAGGATTACCTTTGTGCGTATTTTTTTCTTAAAACATGGTATGCTAAGTTGGACAAAAAATTCTCTGTGAAGCAGCAGCAGTGAAAGTTATACATGTTTCTAGGCAGTGTGGGGAACAGTTTATTCCAGACTTCTAATTCTTATTAATTGCCAGCCTCTGATTCCCTGTAGTCTGTTCTTCCTATCCCAGAAACTTCCTTAGCTTTGATTCCCCTCTGCCACTTCACCTTGGTAATGTGCCAGCACACGTTATCTCAGGACACATCTTGAATTTTCACTAATGACACAAAGGTGCACATTGTTTGAAATTTAAGTTTTCAATGTGAAAATACAACACCAATACTGCATTAAAATTTTGTATTAATGAGCTGGAGGTATAACCCTCCCAGCAATACAGGCCTGGGCCGATCTTCTTAGATCCCTTCCAATAGAACTGTTCTATTCTATCTAAAAATTAGCTTGGCAGAGAAAAACCCAGTGGTTAACAAGTGGTGAACCAACAGCGTGTCCTTGCAGCAAAGAAGGCCAACAACATCCTGAGCTGCACTGACAGAAGGCTGGGGAAGGTGAGTGTTCCCCTCTACTCAGCACTGGTGAGACACATTTGGAGAGCTGGGTTCAGTTCTGGGCTCCACCAGACAAGAAGTATGTGGATGTACTAGAGAACATCTACAGAAGAACATGAAGATAATTAAGGGATTGGAACATCTGACATAGAAGGAGGAGTTGTAAGAACTGGCGTTGTTCAGCCTTGGGAAGAGGACTGGGAAAGAGCTTCGGTGTGAATAAACGTCTGATATTGGGTAGTAAAGATCTGCCACTTGGATTCCTAAACACAAGCCTATGGCTTGCACTAAAAAAGACTTCTCTCCCACAGCTCCGACTGTGTGGCTGTTGTACACAGTTCACAAAGGAACACTTCTGGATGTGTTGACGCTGTGTGGAGGCATTGGCACAGTTATTGTGTCTGATGTCTCTTGTCTCACAAAACGCTTCACACCTTTTTCCATACTCAAGACATATGAAAGCAAAGATGGATCCTTGAAGCACATTTGGTCACAGTATTTGAAATAACTAAATTTCCTAAATACAAACCTGCAATTATTTGTTAGAGCTCTGTAACTTGGGAGATGCTCACATGCATTCACTTAAGTTTGGCCACTTAATCTAGCGTGTGTTCAAGTAGGCTTGTCTCTGCAGGACTTCTCTTCATTGATTGAAGGGAAAGAGGTCCTTGAATAGGCATTACAGGGCACTTGAGTTCATTTCTGCCCTGATTCAGCCACTGCAAGTGTCTATTTGACTCTTCTAATTATAAAACAAGGGCCTAGGAATGCTAACTCAGGTATTTAAGGTCAAGCATGCCAATAGCTCCTTGAGTCCTTATCTGGAGAATTGTTGCCATTTGTTACTGGCCCCTTCAGCTTAAATGATGGCTTAGCATGCTTTTTGACCTGAGGAACATCATTTTTTTGACAAAACCTACTAGCAAGCTCAGCATTTGGTCAGCTGCTTCAGCAGGAGCACAGAGCACAGACGTTAGGCCAGACAGGAATTTTTCTTTATAATGATTGGAAGACGGTAGCTGCCCTTTCATGGTGCAATAAACATTATGTACAGGTGTGACGAGAGATCCAAATAGACAGAAAGCAGGAAGGAAAACGTATGATACAAACTGTCGCTGAGATCACAGCAGTCATAGAATAGCTCAGGCTGGAGGGGACCTCAAAGACCATCTCGTTCCAGCCCCCCTGTTGTAGGTAGGGTTGCTCCCTACTAGATCAAGCTGCCCAGAATCTCATTTGACCTGACCTTGAATGTCTGCAGGAG